TTGAGCGAGTGACATTGTACCACTCCGTGATGTCGCGGCTACAGGACGGTATTCAGATATTTTTGATGTTGCAGATCCCTTTATCTCGGTTCCCTTAAGACATTGGTGTATATGGTACTAAGAAAAATTGCTTGTGTTTTCAAGATCTACACGTCGTGTAAAGGAAAACCCCAACTTTGCGGACACCCTGTATATGTATATGCAGGGTGAGTTATTATTATGGGCCCGGTCAATAACTTCTCTATTACTCGTGGTACTTAAAAAAGTTAATCACAAAATTGGGGTATATTTGTATTTCTACAGCGTGATTCATAATTTCGTGGTGACCCAAACAGTTTTTTTTAAAGGTAAGACTTTCAATTTATTGCAGATTCTGGTAGGCATTTCCAAACGAAGCAATCTAATATGACATACTATGGGGTTAAAAAAAACTCGCGTCTCCGCAACTGTTATAGCTAGAGAACTGAATTTTTCGTCAGAAGGACTGTGTACCTACCTACGTACTTTTTGTTTTAATACAGGGTGGTCAAGAACGCGAAATGAACGTTTTCCCAAACTTTTCAAATGGAACAACCTGTATATCTTAGCGCCCTTTGATTCCCCGTTTATATCAGATTTTTGGGGGTTTGCACGACTGGTTTTTGTGTTACAGCTAACCTTTTTGTTAATCACATATCAAGGTAAACAGAAAATATTTTTATTGTGAACGAAATCTTCCTAATCTGATGCACTAAGGTCGGAAAGTTATAAAGGTGTCCCCGTGTTTTTAGTAACTCAAGAATCATTAGTAAAAACCCCCACAAACCCCACAATAAATGAAAGCTTGTGAAGAGGAGAATCAAAAAGTAAAAATATACAGGGTGTTTCATTTGAAATTTTCATATAGTTATATAGAGTATCTAAAAAACTGAAAAAGTAAATAGATACAGAAAAAGTATGAGATGTTGCCATTTTTCTAATGAAAAACTGAGTTCTCTCGCTATAATAGTTCTCTCAATTCAAAAGAAATATGTTTGAGTCACAACGTAGTCATGAACTTCCCAGAAACAAAAATATTTTCCAAGTCAGCAGCATACGGTACTAAATTATTCGACTTTACGTCATTTTTAGCGTTTGTCGACCCGATGACCAACGTGATCCGTGGAACGTGCAGAGTTCACTTACAATGTTTTTCCAATTCTTCAAATAATCTGTCTTAGACTGTCTCCGTACCACTATTAACCCAATTTATTTCTGGTACAATAGGAGAGATTGGACAATGGAGACACAAAGTAAAACTGGTAAATGGCTGTCTTCTGTTCCTAAATGTTTTCCTTTTCTTTCATTCAGTTCTACAGAAAATCTAACAATGTATGGACAACTGTCTATTTTACCACTGATAGTACAGGAAGCCCAATAGGAGATTTCGTGATTTACTCGATCGCGGCATATTTAAGACAAAGAGGGATATCTTGCATCGCGTTAAGTAAGTTACATGCTGAAAAGTGTGTATTTCAATAATCTGACGATTTGAGTGTGACGTAAAGGGGGGGGGAGTACCACAAACTTTCAAAAAGATTTTATAACCGTGGAAGATAACGACATTCGGTTTTCACTAGATTGTACTTTTTGCATGCATTTTCTGAATAATGAAAAATATGCAATACCATTCCTAATATTGAAGTCAGAGTTACGTCCCCCTGCGGTCACTTACGGTAACCAATAGCTCTAGGTTGACTAGTTGCCCTAGATACAGTCGTCGTCCTTTATTGACGTCGCATCCAGTAGAAACCAGTAGATTAACATACCTCCAATATCAGTAACACGTGGGGCATATACGCGCCTCGAGGATTTCTATATAACTAATCTCTTTATCCGCTCCCCTCATGACTAAAAAGATATATACATATATATATATATATTATATATATATATATATATATATATATATATATATATATATATATATATATATATATATATAACTTGAGACGTGGTCATTGTCGTCTAGACCAGTTAGGTGAAAAATTAAAGCTTCCGCCTTTTGTTGGGTAATTCGACAAAATTCAAGCAAAGAGGACTCTTTATACTTTTTTAATTCTCTCTAGCTTTCAATGGACTTTGCCATCATCATCAGGAGCTGCAATTACAATGATAACAGTAGCAACAATAGTGTAAAGTGAATTTAAATTGACTCAACCTACAGTAGTATGTGAGGATGTTGCTAATTGTTGTTTACGTATAGGATGAGGGAAACGTCCAGTAACATGGTGAGAGCTGGATAGATGGTACAATGGTCAAAATTATATTAAATATGACAAGAGCAAGTTAAAACAATTAGCAACATCCTCACATACTACTGTAAGTTGAGTCAATTTAAATTCATTTCACACTATTGTTGCTACTGTTATCATTGTAATTGCAGCTCCTGATGATGATGGCAAAGTCCATTGAAAGCTAGAGAGAATTAAAAAAGTATAAAGAGTCCTCTTTGCTTAAATTTTGTCGAAGTACCCAACAAAAGGCGGAAGCTTTAATTTTTCACCTATATATATATATGTATATAAACAAGTAGGAAAATACTGGGCAAAATCCGCAAAATGGAGGAAAGTGGATTCGAGCAGAAAATAGGATAGGTAACCCGAGCGATACGTATTTCTGCTTGTTGGCTTCATCATTTTTTCCCCTCCAACTTCGTTTCCTCAGATTACACCCGTATCCGGATGTGTGGGCATGTGTATCTACTTTTGTAGTTTCATATGTGCATTCATTTCGGGCCTGATGAAGCCAACCAGCAGAAATACGTATCGCTCGGGTTACCTATCCTATTTTCTGCTCGATTCCACTTTCCTCCTTTTTGCGGATTTTGCCCATTATTTTCCTACTTGTTATTATATACCTTTCTCGGCATGATCATATTCTCTATACAGGGTTATCCAAATTAAGTGTCCACCATTGGTAACTTTGTTATTAGTAAAAATACAAAGTTGTTTAAATTAGCAAACTAGTAGCATTTTTAACGCTGGTAAAAATGAGAAATAAAAAAAACAATTGAGAGTCGTTATTTTGATTTTTTTCAGTAAAATAACATTTTTTTAAATGGAAACCCCTGTATATTATATTTTTTTCTGTTAAAGCATCAAATTTTAAACAAAAAAGTTCATAATGACTTTTCCGCTAAAGTTAAAAATAAAGTCAAAATAACGATAAATATTTTTAATTATTTGCAGTATTATAATATTAAGACGGCTATGAAAACAACATGGCGTTCGCGATTTGACTGCATTAAGATAAGCGACAAATTGTTAAACTGGACATACTCGCAACTAGAAGGCTTTGGAAAACAATGATAAAATCAAATAATGTCAAACATTAGTGTAAATACTTGTTTATAAGCTTTATTGTGTCATTAATTTAAAGAAAAATGTTCTCCCATGAAGAAAAGTGTGATATGTTAGAATGCTATTTAGTGTGCAGAAAATCCTCCTTGAGAGCAAGAGAATACTACAGTGAATTATATCCCGCTCGCATTCAACAGTATGAACGATATTTTCTGAGACTTTATCGAAAATTTAGGGGCAACGAAAATGTTTTTGCTAAAACAAGGGCAAAAAAAGAATTCATAATAAGCGAGGCCACGGAAATTGCAGTTATTGGATATTTTGAAGCTTATCGTGAGAATTCAATAGCAGATATTCTCAAGGACTCTAATTTCAGTTATGGTACTGTTCAAAGGATTTTAAAAAAATACAAATTTATTCCGTATAAGTACCGACCAGTTCAAACACTTTTGGCAGGGGATCCAGAGAGAAGACTTGTTTTTTGCCATTGGTATCTTAGCTTCTGTCGCCAAAATGTAAATAACTTTCGTTACCTTTTATGGACAGATGAATCAAATTTTTCAAATTCTGGAATGTTTAATAGAAAAAACCACCATTATTGGTCAAGAGAAAATCTTTTGTTAGTACATCCAAGAGGCCCACAAGTCCGTTTCAGTTTCAACGTTTGGTGCGGTATAATTGGTTCAAAAATTGTTGGCCCGTTCTTTTATGAGGGAACCCTAACTGGTGAAAGATATGTGGAATTTATGTCAGAAATTCTGACTAATTTCTTAGACGAATTGGATCTTATAAGTAGACATCATCTGCATTTTCAGCAAGATGGCGCACCTGCCCACAACTCCAGAGGTACTTATCATTTTCTAAGTACTACTTTTAATGATCAGTGGATAGGAACAAATGGCCCAATACAGTGGCCTCCCAGTTCACCAGATCTAAACCCACTTGATTACTTCTTGTGGGGTTACTTAAAGAACCAAATTTACAAGCGAAGGTACGATAACCTTGACGCGTTAAAGACTGCAGTTAGGGAAAAGATAACCCAGATAGATGGTAGGACCATACTTAAGACAGTTCGAGCAGTTGAAAAACGTGCCCAAAAATGTATTGAAGAACAAGGTGGTGTTTTCGAGCATCTTCTTTAAAAAAAATTGTTATTGTATTTTGTAAGATTATAAGTTGATGTTGAAAATAAAGTTTGTCGATACAATTTAATTGTTTCAGATTGGAGGCCATAACTTCAACAATTTGTAACCTAGGAGAAAAGTTATTGTAAGCTTTTTTGTTTAAAATTTGATGCTTTAACAGAAAAAAATATAATATACAGGGGTTTCCATTCAAAAAAATGTTATTTTACTGAAAAAAAATAACGACTCTCAATTGTTTTTTTTTATTTCTCATTTTTACCAGCGTTAAAAATGCTACTAGTTTGCTAATTCAAACAACTTTGTATTTTCACTAATAACAAAGTTACTAATGGTGGACACTTAATTTGGATAACCCTGTATATATATCATATAACTTTTTTGAGTATATGATAGCTGCGTCCCTTACAACAGTGTGGCACAGCTTTTTCGATAGTAAATAAACGTGACAGACCATTTGTCTCGATCACATTTGAACCACCCTTGTATGTTTTCTTGGAAGGCGGAAATCAGTTATTACTCCCCCCTCCACACCCCCGTCATGTAATGCCTACTACACCAGTAAACAGTTTAGACCTAAATTCTGGTAGTAATGTCAGTACGACGTAATTTGATGACGGCTTTTTGTGTCTGTAAGGCATTTTATTTACTTTAATTTTCTTAAAAATATTCCGAAATCCTCAAAACATGGGGAAACCTGACGACAAACCATTCAAGACCTATGCCCCTTTTGGGATAGCTACGAAACGGTTCGTGAAAGTTGGCTTTCACCCCTCGCTGGATAAATCAGGAGCTATGAAAAAACTGATAACTAAAGTTGGACCAGGTAATATACGTTGTAAATATAATAATAATAATATTATAATAATACTGTTCCTTTATTCAACTTTGCATACACAAAATAAGACAAAATAATAATATCTTGAAAACTGCAGAAGTGCAAAATTGAAAAGGTGGAGTGTTATCCTAGGGGAATTTTTCAACTCAACCTTGAAAAAAAATGAATCTATAACATGAACATATTTAAGGGAAAACCCAATAATAAAGATAAACATAAGTATCAATGATAGTCATAATGTAAGATGTACCTAGTGCCTGAGAGAAAGGAACTAACAATACGAAAATAAGAAATGTATATATATGTATTTAACAACGATAACTTTCACAATAAAACGTAATGTTCTTGTTGCGGATGCAGCTAACAACATCCTATCAGCAAATCATAATATATGTATTTTGAAGGTAATGAAAAAATATTTTGTATCAACAATTAGTAGAACAGAAGGGAAGGAGAGACAAGTAGGAAAATAGTGGGCGTAAACAGAGTCGGCATATAGGATACAAATCATAAAAATCATTTGGGAGGGGATTATACAGTTTGCCTGCGTTATATGAAAAGTGACGTTTGAAGGTTGATGTTTCGTGAGGCAGTATAACGATCATTTCCTATTTCTAGTCGGTAATGAATTGTCATTTTCAAATTTTGAAATTCTATCCTAAAGGTATTCCGGCTTTTTGTTCACAAGGACTGTGGATTAGTGTTAGGAAATGCAATTTTCTCAATCTATCTAAACTTATGTGATCAAACTTTCTGATACCAAAAGAGAATCGCCGACTCGAATTTTGTGATTGCTAAAACAATCATTTTTTAAAATAGCCGGACTATATGTGCTTTCTCAGGAAAATATAACTTCATTTTCAAGCTTCTATTTGAAACACTACGCTGTGGGTATCTACATATGTCTATCTACTATATTTTTTTCTAACATGACAAATCTCATCCGGAAAACTAGCATTAGCTAACAGCATTCTGTTCCTTGAACCATAATCTGCAAGAGTAGAAACACGACTTCGAAGGATTCAAGTAACACTAGAAAAAAGCTGACCTCTCCCCCGCACAATGCGAAATTGAGTAATGAGCCCCAATATTTCGGAGATCTATGTAGCTAAATTGAAAATGAATGTATGGATATATCTATATGCTCTACTGTGGCTCTGAAGTCGTGATCTTTTGAAATTCAACACTCTGTTTGAAAGTATTGTCAAGTATTTTACTTTTGAGCAAGCAAGCCATTTCTTACAGGCAGTTACAACCCCAGAAAACCAACATGTTCGAAACATGAATGCAGCTGGAAAACCAAAGTTGAATCTGAGGCATATTCAAAATTTCTCGGCTTCAGAAATGCCCACCTACTCAAAGAACGGGAGTTCTACGAAACCCTTAGAGGTCCTGGAACTAACGATACGAATGAAGCTCTTTTCAAACAACAACGCAGCTCTGTTCTGGATAATGTCGGTTTGGGTGCTGGAAAAAGATTCACTTACCTAAAAGGGTTTGACGAAAATATTCCTCCACCTAATTCCTACTTTAGGGACTTGTCCAGGACGTCAACTGTTAAGAAAAAGAGGTTTTCGAACACCCCTATCTTTGAGTGGGACGGTATTCAGGATAGATTCAAATCTAGAGCTCCGAGGTACCATCTAGCTGCAAATAGGTAAGTACTAAGCACTAGCAGATGCTTATAGCAATCATTTTCATTTCGAGTGTTGAAGACAAACATGACCAACTGTGCTCAACTGTACGTTATCGCCATTGACCGTAAAATACCGTTATTATTCCTACCAAAACATAAAGAGTACATGTGACACGTATACACCAATACAAAATTAAAATAAGAACTACATTCCAATGTAATGAAGCTGATTTATATAGGAGTAACCGCGCATAAAGCTAGGAGGAAAATGGAGACGTGGGTTGCAAGACAACACTCTCAGAAATGGAGAAGTATCTCTAGACATCTCCGCCAGGCACGAGAGCTCATTGAAGGGCCCAGTGCTAAGGATGGACGCTTCTGCCTATCTCTGGGTAGAGCCAACCTAAGGTTGCTGGTGGGACTGTTGTCTGGCCATAACACGTTAAGGCGGCACCTGCACGTGATGGGGGTGGCTGAGGATCCCTTGTGCGAACGCTGCGGAGTAGAGGAAGAGACCTCGGCGCACGTTTTGTGTCGCTGTGAAGCTCTGAGCTACTATAGGCAGACTATACTGGGGTCCATTACTTTGGACCCTCAGGACGTAAAGGAGCTTGGACTCAAGGCCATTCTCAACTTCGCTAAAAGGGCGAGGCTTGTGATTTAAGTATTGTAGAGGTGCATAAGGGCCCGCTTAAGCGGCCTATGCACTGGCTCCTTACGGTGGCCGGGATGCCTCTAAAATTCAAGATTCATTCATTCATATGTGGATATGAAAAATATGTGAAGCAAGTAATGACTTAAGAGAAGAGGTTACCGACGTAACACTGAGCACGCTTAACTTAGCTCAGGACATCAGGGACTGGAAAGTGTCTCTAACACCCTCTCTATCGGATCGCAGGTATATACTGTTTAAGACTGATGGAGAGATTCCGGATAAATGTGCTCGGAATCCTAGGCATACTAGATGGGGATCCTTTAGGGCAGACATTGACAGTAAGCTTGGAGCGGTCCCATACAGACTTTGCAGGGGCTCTGACATAGAAGCAGGTGTCGAGTCTCTAAGCAGGGTCTTTACGGCTTCATATGAGGAAAACTGTCCGTTACGCAAAATCCAAGGTAAGGGCAAGGCAACCTTATGGTCCAAAGAAGGATAGAAAACGAGCAATGAACAGGCAGCAGAGTTAGCACAGGAGAAGTTCTCCTCTATGGGAAGACTACAAAAAGGCATTGCAGGAGTACAAAAAGGAGATTAGATAGGCCTCCAGAGAATCCTGGAGGTACGTCTGTCAGTCCATAAATGACATTCCTGCTACTGCGAGAATACATAGGGTCCTATGCAAAGACATTAAAGCAAGATTGGGATATCTGTATGATCCCTCGGGGGGAATACTACTTCTGAGGAAGGTACTCTGAGGTTTCTGATGGATATGCACTTTCCCAGTAGCGCGATCAATCACAGAGTGCATGGAGTTGCGCAGGCCCCCAGGGGAGGACTGGCGCACGGCTAGGGAGATTGTCACCTTCGAAAGGACGGTATTCGCAGTAGATTAGTTTGCTCCATACAAAAGTCCAGGTCTGGACGGCGTATTTCTGGCCATGTTACAGCAGAGATGGAGTTCGGTTGTTCCTCACATGTTGAATGTGTTTCGAGCATGTGTGGCCACGAGCTTCACACCTAGAAGCTGGCGGCAGGCTAAAGTGGTATTCATTCCTAAACCGGGCAGAGCTAGATATACTGGCCCGAAGGATTTTCGATCGATTACTCTTTCATCTTTTGTGCTTAAGACACTGGAAAGGATAGTAGATAGATACTTAAGGGATGGCCCGCTGGAAAGGTGTGTCATTCATGCAAATCAGTTTGCATTCCAAGCTGGAAAATCAACTGATCTGGCCTTACACAATCTGGTCGGTAGGCTGGAGAAGACTCTAGATCAGCGAGAAGTGGCACTCGTGGCCCTTTTGGACATTGAAGGTGCATTTAATTGCACCACAACCGACTCTATCAGACATGCCTTGGTTAGCCACGGGGTTCCTAATCCTAATAGATTGGGTCCTATCTACTCTGGAGGGTCGGGTAACAACAGCAATGCTGAATGACGTAGGCTGCAGCGTGAGTGTAGCTAGAGGCTGCCCTCAGGGCGGAGTTCTGTCACCCCTACTGTGGTGTATCGTGGTGAACGAACTCCTCATTATGCTCAGCAGTATGGGTGTCTACGTGCAAGCCTATGCTGATGACGTAAGCATAGTAGTTAGGGGGCGTTTTTGTAGAACAGTCTCGGAAATTATGCAGGACGCTCTGCGCTCTGTGGAATCGTGGTGTAGGGAAGTCGATCTTTCTGTTAATGCTGAAAAGACCGAGTTGATCCTATTCACTAGGAGAAGAATGCTTGACGGGCTGGTCATGCCGACCTTCCTTGGGACTAGATTAATTTAACTGGGAATTATCCTGGATAGCAAACTGAACTGGAGAGAGCATGTTGAATACAAGGTTAGCTAGGCTCGCAATTCGATGTGGGCTTGTAGACGTGTTGTCGGTGTAAGGTGGGGGCTTAAACCCAAAGTGGTATACTGGCTCTACACGATGATAGTACGTCCTTCTCTCTTGAACGGCTCCCTGGTCTGGTGGCCTTGCATTAGAACTGAGACAACTAAGGCCAAACTCAATAAAATTCAGCGATTGCCCTGTATTAGTATTACAAGCGCAGTGCGAACAACGCCATTGAATGCAATGGAAGCGGACACTCTGGCGAAGACAGGATCAGCCAGCAAGGTCGTTGGTCCTGAGGTGGGACTGTTGTCTGGCCATAACACGTTAAGGCGTCACCTGCACGTGGTGGGGGTCGCTGAGGATCCCTTGTGTGAACGCTGCGGGGTAGAGGAAGAGACCTTGGCGCACGTTTTGTGTCGCTGTGAAGCTCTGAGCTACTATAGGCAGACTATACTGGCGTCCATTACTTTGGACCCTCAGGATGTCAAGGAGCTTGGACTCAAGGCGATTCTCAGCTTCGTTAAAAGGGCAAGACTTGTGATCTAAGGATTGTAGAGATGCATAAGGGCGCACTTAAGCGGACTATGCACTGGCTCCTTATGGTGGCCGGAATGCCTCTAATTTCAAGATTCATTCATCAATGAGTTAAGGTCGCATGTCACTTTTTCCCAACTGCCTTTTTGGAGTAGTATTCCAAATCCTTTTCATCTGATTATTACATGGTATGTATAGAGATGACTAAAACACAATGTTAGCAACTTTTTTGTCAAAAAATGCATTTTTTCTTCAATCGTAGCTTTCTAACAAATATTAGCAAATCTCTGAAATTGTATGCCAAAATTCCACTTTCATAGTAGAATTGGGCCAGTGATTACTTTCCTTCTTATCACTTTTTCTCTTCGAAAAAGCTTTGATTTCCTTAAAACCTCATTTTGCAGCAAATTGAGTTGTCGCGAAAAGGAAAGATTTCTTGAAAATAATAAGTGACAAGAAATAAGATAATCAACCGATCGATTCTTCCCAAAAAACTGGAATATTCACATACAATTTTAGAGCTGTGCTAGTATTTGTTATCAAGTTACGATTACGAATGCAAGAAATGCATTTTTTGACAAAAAAAAAGAACTGACAACATTGTGCTTCACTCATGTCTATACTCAACATGAAACAAGCAGACGAAAAGTGTCCAGACACGGAAACAAGGGACATGAGGCGCTAACTCTTGTTTTGAACACGTGGTAGTTTTTCGTAGCACCCAGACGTGTTAATTTATTGAATAATACTGTACAATTATAGTACTACGATTTTACTTAGTAGAACGGCTCTGTATTTCTAGTTTTGTAATAATGTAACCGATTGAATTTCTTAGAAATATTCGGTTATAATTTGATGAATGTTATATATTTTAAAACAAAAATGAACATCACAGTTGAGAATATCCTTTATTTAATTAGTTTGTTGGGACATGACAGAAATCAGTCGTAATATCCGTCTTGCGATCTCTGTGTTCAGATCCTCCCCAAATTAACACGTTAATCGTCATGACACCCGACTGTTGGGTTTCAGATCCTGTGGTCGACTGGGTTCCGACACCTGTGATTCGACCTTCATTAGTAGCGTGCACATTATTAAAGCCTGTAATTCAACTACCGTGTTTGAGAACACAGAAGTTTTCACAGAGGGGTCCGGCCGGTAATATTAGTGAACGAGTCCGGCAATTTTCATGAATTTTTTCTGAAGGATTTTTCTAAAAATGATATGAATTTATAAAAATACATTTTATTTTAATGAAATAGTACAAACAGTGGCCACTAATTATGAAGAATACCTAATTGCAAACATCAAAAAACATGACAAACTGCTGCTAGTAGTTATAAAGAATAATTATGAACGTATGACATATGTATATCACAAGAAAATTTTGATTTAGGTCCCTTCCTCTGAGCGGCTCTCCTACCTTCTTCAGTACTCGTTTTCGCATCAGATGCTACACATTTTCGTCGTCTTCTGAAACAACTTCTTGTAAAACATGCTTTGTCTTTTCATTTTCCAGCACCACTCTGAAATCCACTTTATTGATTTGTAACATACCAGGAGCAATTTTCTGTCTAAAATTTGTATTTAACATTTTCGCCTTCGTCACACTTTTGTACAGTATGAAAGCATTTACTAAAGCTAAGCCAAGTGACATTTCAAAGCCAAGTTTCGTGTACCACTTTATGTCTTTACGCAACCGCGAACAATATGAATTCAACTGATATGATAGATCTGTGAATGACAACACGAGTTGTAGTCAACAACAAAAGATGTTTTTTCTATGTTTGTTACTCTTTGTGTATATTTAGTAGTTGTGTTAGTATGCTTATATAAAGAATATCACGTTTAACGTGCTATTTCAAACCAACCACCACTGTATTACTTTCAATTGCGCAGATTTATAATTTATTTAATGTTTGGGCCTCTACATTTTTTGAGTTGTTTTTTTCCATTTTTCCTTATATTAACCGGAAGATGTGTCTTACGCTTTTGTAGCTCATGAGCCAAGTCGACACTAGTGTAGTAGTTGTCGATGTATAAGACATTTGGGTTTCGCGGCGCTCAGCAGTTGGTCATCTGAAACCCATACGTAGGGCGTCATTTTCATTTTTGGGACATTTTTTCAAAACTAACGCCTGATAACAGCCAGCGCACTATATCCAGTGTAAAAACTATTAATTTCCCAGAAAAATTAGGTTTGGCCTGCGGGTAGGATACTTTTCGCTTCATCTGGAAGATTAACGTGTTAATGTTACACGCTATATTTGTGGAAATATACCAAGTACACGTCGGGCAAGTTATGTATGTACAACGAAGAGTTTGACTGCACAGAATGACGGCTTTGCATCAAACTATCTGTCAAGTGTTAAGGCCGACTGCAATTCACACAGGGGTATAGTCCATAACTATACTAAGTGACATATAAATCCGAACACCCAGTTTAAATGGTTTTATTTTAATGGCATGCTTTTGATCAGGTGGTCAATGTCCTCATGTGGTATCTCATTCCAGGCAACCACCAACTCCTCTCGAAGTGCTTCTAGAGTCTGAGGAGGACGTTGCAAATTGAGCAATCTCCTACCCATCATATCCCACACGTGCTCAATTGGGGATAAGTCGGGAGATCTTGGTGGCCATGGTAACAATGTGACATCATTATGTTGAAAGAAGTCTATTGTGACTCTTGCAATATGTGGTCGGGCAGTATCTTGTTGGAAAGTTGGATCTGCCAGGGTGTCAAGGTAGGGTAAAAGATGGGGTTCTAGAACTTCGTGGATATAGCGCTGCGCGTTCCTGTTACCTCTGATGAAGATTAAAGGTGACCTGGAACCATAAGCTATAGCACCCCAAACCATAACTCCAACAGTATGATGAACAAGTCTTTCAACAAAAAACTGTGGATTCCTCCTTCCACCACGTCGCCTTCTAACCTTGGCACGACCATCGTGCATGCCTAAACAAAATCGAGACTCATCACTAAAGACAATACTGTTCCATTCCTGATCCCAGAGTGACCGTTGTCTGCACCACTCAAGGCGATTACGTCGGTGTTCTCGAGTTAAAGGGAGGACCCAGTGTGGCCGGTATGAAAACAAGCCAAAACTTCTCATTCGTCGGTAAACACTTCGCATGCCAATAGGTCTTCCATGTTCTGCAAACCATTCATTTGCAATGGACCTGGTAGTGGAGAAACGGTCCCTTAAGGCCAATAATCTTAGGCGGCGATCTTCACGGTCTGTTGTTCTACGGCGGCGACCAGTGCCCCTTGCTCTTTGCGTCCGGCTTTCTCGAAGCCATGCCTGACAATACCTAACCACAGTGTCTACACTTCTTTGCACTCTAACTGCAATTGCCCGAAAAGAAAGTCCAGCTTCCCGAAGTCCCACTAAACGGCCCCTATCAAACTCACTAAGTTGACGAAATCGTACAGGTCTCCGTACTCTAGGCATCGTAACCGATCGTAAAGGATGTCAAGAACCAAAATCCGCCAACGTTGATTCTTTACTGCGGCTGAAATATTCATTTTTAGAGCGTTAGTGAATTAAAAAAAAGCAGTATAAAAACCGGAATGTCCAACTGATAAGGCTGAAAATTTTTCACTTGTTGTTTACAGTAAGATAAATACATTCACGAACTTTTATTAAAATAAAACCATTTAAACTGGGTGTTCGGATTTATATGTCACTTAGTATATATTTGCATTCGTTTACTTTCAGTAATGTGCTTCTAGCACCCGTATGGGATTATCTGAGTGAATATTATCACACCAGGCGTTTTTAAAATATATTGCAGTCATTCAATCTCTCTCAAAAAATATCTGAGCCAACTAGATATGATATATCACACTCTACTTTGATTGATATGATTATTGTAAGTGAAAATTTGCTAACAGTTAAATCAGGAACCATACCAATCGTCACGAATATAACAGACCATAATTTAGTTTATTCGATCTTTAACATTCCAAAAATAAACAGTTCTTCAAAATACGTTACTTATCGTGATTACAATAATATACGGGAACAGTCATTTCTCTATGATGGTATGCAGCTTCCGTGGAATAGTAGTTACTATTGTACCAATGTAGATAAAAAGGTGAAATTAGTTAATATATATATTTTAACAATCATTAATAAACACGCTCCTCTAAAAATAAGAAAAATTAAGATAGAAAAGCCGTTTCTTCCCTGGATATCAGAAAACAAAACTTTTGATGAAAATTAGAGATAAAGCCCATAAAAAATACTTAAGATCTAAAAGAGATCAGCACCTTAGATATTATAGACAAACCAAGAAATTTCACTAAGCACGACACTATCCGCGAAAAAGTTGCCTATTTTAATCAACTAGCAAGAAAAAACAAGATGATGATGATGATGATCTTACTGAAGTTTCCGATAATCTCTTAAATCCATCTGAGATACATGATTTTTTTCAGATGACTGATAACCTGCCAGACACTACATCATTAAACTTAGTCAGTTTTTATGAAAATAGTAAAGCTGTAAATAATAACTTGGAATTTCATTTGATAGATCGGAGCAGACTAATAAAAATTGTTAGTTCCATTTCATCAGGTGCGATTGGAGAGGATGGCATATCCATCAAAGACATAAAATCGTGTCTTCCTTTCTGCGCAAAGGCATTGATTGATATTATTAACACATGTCTTTTGGAAAATACTTATCCTGCTGTTTGGAAAAAGGCTATTGTGAAACCCATTTCAAAGGTTGGCGAGCCTAAAGAACTAGAAGACCTCAGACCAATTAGTATTTTGTCCTCTGTGTCAAGATAGGCACATTTTTGTTCAGATGTCGGAATTTTCTGAATCGCAAAACATCATTCCTCAATATCAATCGGGATTCAGGAAGAATTTTAGTACAACTAAGATTATTGTAAACGATGTCCGAATGCATGAGGAACAAAAAAACGCTACTTGCATGATTTTGTTAGATTTGAGCAAAGCTTTTGATACTCTAAATCACGGAATGCTGCGCAAAGCTAAGCTATTTTGTTACCTAAGTACTCGATCAAGCTGTGTTATGATTTCTCAAGGATCCGTTTGCTTCAAATCTGAATTTAAACCTCTAAAACATGCTGTCCCTCAAGGATCAATCCTTTCGCTCTTGCTGTTTAGTATTTATGTGGCAGATATGTCTGAAGCTGTTACTTATGCAAGGATTCATCAGTACGTCGATAACTCACACTTTGTATTGCTATTAATAACGATAATTTGGGCACAACCGAAAATGACATTAATTCAGACCTGCTAGAGGTAAACAGTTTTGCCATACGCCAATATATGTGTAAATTAGTGTAGAACAGGGAATTTTCACACCTGCCCTACTTATGTGAGGCTGGGTGTTAACGGTCATTTTGATCGATGATATGTACTTTTTGTCAAAAATATTATTATGTGTGTGTATTTTGTTTAATACGGTAAAAAAAAGCTTTTTTGGCCAATAAAATGTATTGGCATTTGAATTTGAATATAGGATCTACTCTTCCTCATTGATTTCGCACTGAACTTGGGTTACATCTAATTTGTTAGGGATGCCCTGGACATTTAAATGGAATATTTTCAAATCCACCTGTTTGGAGTATTTACAAACTTTGAAAAACCTGTATTGCTTCGCTAAATCACAATCTGGCCACAAAGCACTTTCAAACAATTAGTAGTTGATATTTGCCCCTACTTTAACATATTCTGTAGTACCATTTCTCCATTGGGGCAACTTTTCAGCTTCAAATTGCATACCAGGGAATTTTACATGAAGAAGTAGTAGCATTTCTTCTTCTGTTATTCTTCATTGATCATAACAAAGTTCTTTTTTGAATACCCATCTAATTGTTTGCAGATACAAAATCAATGATGGCAAGAACATAGCTAGTATAATTGACAAAATATGTTCGATACGGGGACCATACGATTTGTTTACCGGGCCTAGAGATGAAACAACGATCAGAAACGACTTCGGAACTTCTGGCTTCACACCGCCTGAGTTCTGGTACATCAAGCCATCTAGCCTGAATTTCTTGTTAAACCATCCTTCAAAAACCAAGTCCGGGAAATTCTTGCACAACGTACGGTTTCCAAGAAAGCCCACAGCAAGGTCGATGCTGAACGATTTAAGTCTGTGTTATAGAGATCCCGAGGATCCAGGCCCAGCACATTACGAGGTATAGTAGCTATTTCTCCTCCTCTTACGGTAGTAAGTCGGATGTTATGGTATGATCCGGTTCCTGTTTCTATACTAATTTAAGGACAGGTCAGTACTTTCCAGGCGGGCAAACAAACGAATTCCAACTAGGCGGAAGAAGCTAGCGCCCGGCTTGTTTTGATCCAAAATTAGTAGTTAGTCAGGAAGCAACGGCATACTACAAGTTGATCAATTCGTATTTCTCTGCGAAATTATAAAAAGTAAATGGGGTTTCCATGCAGTCCTAATTTTCAATACAATTGCCTAAAATGCTACGGATTTATGTGGGTTGCAAAAAGTAATTTAAGATTAATAATCCTTTTTATTGATAAGTATTTATATATTTTAGTCATCGGCGCCCCGAAAGCGCATGCACCTCAATATTGGGCTCCTACTTGGACAGACATGAGGTTGATTTATTTTATCTCACTTCTTGTTTATATTATGAGTGCTCAGTCCCAATCTGAGGTTTGTTTGCAAAATATTATAAGGCGTTTCTAAACGGGCAATAGTTTGGTCGTTCCTTTCGATATTTCCAGCTTATAATAATAATAATAATAATAATAATAATAATATGCCTTTATTTTACCTGGCGGGTGTATCAGCTAATAGCTGCTTTTGGTACCAACCAGGGCTACATAAGTTTAACAAACATAAAAAAAAATCACAGATACAAAAAAATAATGATCAAGACATATAGTACTGAAAAGTGACAAATACAACATAATAGTGTGTAAAATGTGAAGACAGATTTAAATCACATTCACTCACACACTCACTGAAACAGAAATAATGAAAAAAAAAAGACCACAACCAGACACTTAATGTAGAATCACAGCAGTTACAAGATGAAAGCTTAGTATAGAATTAGGTATTATCGAGAACAAATTGCTTTATTTTAACTTTAAAATTATTGTTACTCAAACTTTTCAGATCTGATGATAGACAATTATAAAGGGAAGGCGCTATGTATGAAAAGCACTTTGTGAATTGTGTTGATTTATGGGGGGGCATATCGAGGGTATAACCTACAAAGCGTAAGTTCGCCGAGTGATGCTGACTTCTAAATGAGAGTTTGCTGCTCAGATATGCTGGATATTTGGTTAATAGGACTGTCTGTACTATGACCAACAAGTGTACAATCCATCTCTGACGCATCGTGAGCCAGTTGACATTCTTTAGTGTATCTAATAATGTGTTCCCTTCTCGGAACACCTAATGAATACCTGATACAACTATTTTGCACTTTTTGTATCCTATAAGCTTCCGACTGTGTCAAGCATGGACCATACACCGCATCAGCGTATTCGACTTTGCTGAGAATCAAAGAGTTACAAAGCTTGATCTTGGTTTGACTAGATAATACATGTTTATAACTGTAAATTGTCTTGAGCTTAGCATATGAATTTTGTACAACCCTGGAAACGTGATCGTGAAACGTGAGATGTTCATCCACTATTACTCCTAAATTTTTCACGGATTCTATATGAGGCAAGTCTCCACCTTCCAGGTGTAATTTTATCAAGTTACTATCGAAATTACTTTGTATGGACTTAATAGTTATGACAGCAGATTTGTTTGAATTGATAAGTAACCCGTGATCGTTATACCACTTTGCAACACGATCTAGATCACAAGACATTCTCCTGTTTGCCTCCAGGAAATCGAAAGGACGGTAAGACAAATACAGTTGGGTATCGTCAGCGTAAGACTGAATAGAACAATATTTAATGTCACGACTTAGATCGAACGTATACAAAGTAAACAAAATTGGGCCAAGTATGGAGCCCTGCGGTACCCCCTTCAAAATCGCATGCTTATCGGACATACAGCCGCCTACATTGACTAGCTGTGACCGCTCATGCAAGTAACTCCTAAACCACGTAACAGTACTATCAGAAAATCCAAGATAATGCAGCTTACCAAGAAGCAATTCATGATTGATAGAATCGAAAGCTTTGCTGAGATCAACTAGAATTGACGTTGTGACACAAGATTTATCCATAGCTCTGATATAGTCATCACATATGTTTATCAAAGTGGTAACCGTACTGTGACCTTTCCGAAACCCCGACTGAACATTTGGAATCAAACTGTTTTTATTTATGTGTCCTAGTATTTGCTCATAGACAATTCTTTCCAGAATTTTAGATAGCAATGGCAGTATACTAATAGGCCTGAAATCACCAGGTGCTATCGGATCATCAATTTTTGCAAGAGGTCTAACCATAGCGGCTTTCCATAGGCTCGGCACGACACCTTTTTCTAGTGAAAAATTTATAATGTGTGTTAATGCATCAATACAGTATGGAATTAGGGGAATCAAAAGATCTAAGTTTAGGCCATCCAGACCCTTTGCACATGACTTAATTTTAGAAAAAATATCCAAAACCCTTTCTTTAGTAAGAAGTTTAAAGCTAAACGGTTGAACTGCAGGGGAAAGATGATTTGTGTTATAGAATGTCCGTAAGTAGTTATTAACCTTATTGACGGGAGTAGAGTCTATGAAATAATCATTAAGCATGTCAGGCTGTATTGAACACCGGTTATCATTTTTAGAACCATGAACGCCAAGGTTTTTGATAGCATTCCACCATTCTCGACTATTGTTGCTTTGTCTCAGTTTATATTCAATGTAAGCTTTCTTTTCCCTCCTGAAAGAGGCTGTGACAAGATTTCTAAGCTGTTTATAATATATCCATTTTGAAGCTATTATTTCACTGGGATACTTGTTCTTTACTGCTTTAATATATTGAGAATATCATATATTGCTGTTAGATTGCCAAATTATTGGAATCCTATTGAATGTCATGAAATGTAAGCTGCTCTGATGAGACATTCTGACCAAACATGTTTCTAAACATTACAGACAATATTGGCAGGATAATTCCGAGTTATAGCTGCTATAACCGAAATACTTAGTAAGGCCACACATGTCCGTTTAGAGGCTCCATAACACAACATTGAAAAATGTAAAGTATTGGTGATATCTAATCCAAAAGTTTTCATGGATACTAAAAAGTGCAAACCAAAATTTTAAGTCTTTTCTACCTTACATTTTGAATGTAAAAGAACTTAGGAAAGGTCTTTACTTTCGCGATATACGAGGGTTGTTTCAAAAATAGCAGGTACGCCTCACGATTCAGATCTAGCAAGGTAATATTTACAACAAGGTACCAGTAAATAGTAAATAGCAGATTTGGGCATCTAGGGGAATGTGTCGCCCCCTATAAATCCGCTTTTGCTATTCGCTTTTATCCTAAAATTATCGCAATTCTTTAGAAAAACCGAGTACCAACCGAAATCAGGCACTCCAGCATTGACACTATTTAATGACAACATTTCGTGTTCTTCACATTCCAAGTAGTAGTAGTAGCGGTGGTGAGGCGAAGCCTGCAAGCTACTCCGCCTTAGACCATTTTTATCGACCCCGAAGTACCATCACTGTACTATTAATTCCACAAGTTATCTACTGATAACTAATTATTGAATAAATCAGCTCCGGTAATGCGGTGTACCTATGGTGATCTTGCATCGATTTCGTGCGTTAGATAGACAACACGACTTCCATAGTTTGAAATTAACTTCCGAGGCAGAGATTATAACCCCCGCTAGCCTTCGAGCTGAATGATTAGCAGCTAGACGCGCTAACCGCTTGGCTACCCAGCCTTCCAAAACCACGAATTAAGCTAGAGTTGATCATATGATCAGAGACGGCTTCAAAGTCTGGTGCACCTTGAGGAAAAGGATAAAGTATGCGGTTTCCCCCATGCTGCCCTCTTACTCAAACTTCCATCATATGGCCTCCCAGATGGGTTGCTGATTTTTTCCCTGGCCGCAAGATATCTATAATAATTCACGGGATCGCCTCTTCATCCCACAACGCCAACGCGGGTGTTCCCCAGGAATCGGTCTTGGCTCCAACACTGTTTCTCTTACATATCAACGACCTCCTTTCCTGCACGATCAACCCAATCCACAGCTTCGCTGATGACAGCACTGAACATGCAGGAATTTAGAGTTACAAGCCGATCTCTGCCGGTGAGCTGGAAGCAAGAAGACTAGCAGCGACTTTCTGAGGATAGACCTGGCATCCAGCGGCAGCTATTGGGAAAAAGCTAGGCTATTTGTTTAAGGCTAAGAAGTACTTCTCTCCGCTTGACCTTCTCACTCTATGCAAGGCCCAGATACGGCCTAGTCTCGAGTATTGCTTACACGTTTGGGGTGCTGCCGCCCCGACTACATTACTTATGCTCGATGCTGTCCAGAGGAGGGCTATCCGACTGATCGATGACTTCTCTTAACACAGTCTCAGGACCCTCCCGCACCGGCGGGCCGACAGCGATTCAGCTCCCTGCTATCGCTACACCAACAAACTTTGCTCGTCAGAGCCCTTCTCATGATGTTACCGTGAGATGTGAATGCCAGTCAGACCGGCCTGACTTCGGTCTCCCATCCTAACCGTACCGAACTTGGTACATCCAGAACTGGTCGATACGACCGCTCTTTTATTATATTAAGCAAGGGCTTTTCCCACTTCTACTAACCTTAGGCAGTTCAAAAATCAGATTAACAAAGATTCTTTGGGATCCTCATGAAAGTCGCGGTGTCCTGGCATTTAGGCTGCTTCCGTGTAAAAAAACATTTGTTTCTTGGCTTATTTAATATAAAGGAATAATTCAGCGATCTACATCGTAACACAGATAGTACTTCTTGCCCCACTGAATGTGAATTCACTCATTATTAGCTACTTGAATATCCTTTCGAGAGAAAAGAATACTTGCCGCGTTTGCACATAATTTTGGCGACAAACACTACCATGTCTCACCACCTAAATATTTCGAAAACTGCGCATTCTATACAAAAGTTTTAAATAATAGTTGTCGGGTATTAAGTGGCAAAATGATGTTGACCTTGACAATGAGCCTTGACTACCAGCTTCAAGGTTTCTTTATGGTTAAGAGGATATTTTCAAATGGAACCCTCAATTTTTCACATCGGAATTGAAAGCAGAATTTTAAGCCGAATATCATCTTGGGCATGACCTTGACTATTTTGTTTTCAAGGCTCTTTCAATGTCAATTCAAGACATCAAAAACAATTTGCTCTAGCAAAACTGCTAGACAGCGTAGTTGTGAGGTTTATAAGGGTCGCCCAAAGCTGACCTTCACCGTTAATCAAGGTCAATTAAGAAATCTCATGTTGGTACTGGAAATGGAAGGATCAGGAAGTTTATTCAAAAACAAAGCCATATCTTGCTTAAATGTTGTTTGAGGTCTAGCTCACATTTAGACGTAAAATTTCCTGCTCCTTCCAGACGTTTTCTTTGGAAACTTTAACTTGACCTTGAAGGTCATGGTTAAGATCACCTTTTTGTGTTCTGCATAGATCCCGTAACTGTGCTGCCTAATATTTTTTCTCGAGCAAATTGTCTTTGATGTCTTCATTTGACCTTGAAATTGCCTAGATGGCAACGGTCAAGGACAAATTTGCTCCTTTTTTCAATGGGGAAACGGGAGGGTTCAATTAAAAAATATTCACTTGGCTTGAAAGGCATGTGTATTATGTAAAAAACCTATAAGACGTCAAAAAAACCTATAAGGTGTCATCTGGCAGACTAGCTCGTTTTTAGAGTGCAAACAGACATTTCACGTTTGCTCTCTAGGATCGTTGTGAGCGCGATCCAACGCGTCCATCTATGGAGGAATGAATGAACGATATGGCATGCTCGTCTCTTTCCAGGTATGCATTGTTGGTTGCAGATAGCCACTTTGTGTAGACAACTTATTATAGTGTTTAAAATGTGAAAGAACGAAAGTTTGGTTGAGTAGCAACAAGATCTCATCTGGATAATTGTATTGGTCTACATGTGTATAAAATCTGTGATATTTGTTATGCGAGAAAATTATTACTGACTATGCGGCCAATGAAGTATATAACACTATTAGCTATGCCAGACGGGTTATTTGTGTTGTTGTTTCTGAAGAGAGGTTATTTTCAAAGTTATACATTACGATTTTTCCCGTTCTTTTTCCTTTGTGTTTTCAAATCTTTGAGAAGAATTACGCCCACATTGTGTAAGTACTGTTAGCATCTATATGACTTGTAATTTGACAGTGTACAGTGAATATCATTATTTCTTATCTTTCTCATTTTTGAAATTCAGGAAATTTGCATATGTAATTTCCAGAATGGATTAGAAAAAGTAGATGCGCAACTAATTTCTAGTCTTGAATCTCAAGTAAGTGTATTTGAGACAAGAATCCAATGGAATTATCATCAACACACATTATATTAGATTAGATTTTACATTGATAACTGAAACGTCATGACGTTCAGGCAACAAGTAGATACAACTAAAACGAGTTCACAAGTGTCGATCAGCTAGTGCTAAGCTAACACCTTGTCGAAAAACCTACATAATGTCAAAAAACTAGTAGACATAATGTCACTTTTCCAGATACGTATTACCATTGCGGACCTTAAAGGGCTTAGACATGGTCGTCGCGAACTTCACCATCATTATGCTTCCTCAAACTCCTACAACTTTTGTTTAAAACTTTATTCTAGAATGTGCAGTTTTGAAAATATTTAGCTGGGAGATTAAAATTGAACTTGACCAATCTGTTCTGACGTAATTTAAAGGTATCATGTGTGAAAGCGATCACAGCCTTGCCACAAGGCATGTATCCTTTCGATATGGGCAAGAGGGTCATCAGACCTCCTGTAAAGTGGACCGTTTCACCTGGACCTGGACGGTACAATCCAAAACTCCCGAGATGCATGAAGCTAAAGAGACAGTCTTGGCCATTTCTGTCGAAAACCAAAAGAGATATATACAAGATTGATGAATCTTCCTGGATTTGATTTATGTCGTTTTGATATTAGAATAAATCGTACCATACAAAGGATCTCATCTGATTATTATAGAAATAGTTCAAACCGTCGTTGAAAATAAAAAAATAAAAACAGTTTTACGGATAGAAAATACGCAAAACCTTTGATATCACATATCTCAGGCACTATTGAGCCGATTTTGTTTAAATTTTGTACAATAATAATGTTACCCACGATTAACGTAAGACTAGACGGACGGTTGAAAGATTGCCTTCATTAATCATCACGTATTGCTTCTCTTTCTGGAAAATAATAATCAATTCAGAGTATAACTTGCGGAGCGTTGCACTTGATGGAATACAAGGAAATAAAAAAATATGTAACTGACTCTGAATTTTTGAAACATCTTTAGTTCAATTTTAAGCATTATTTTGTAAAATGTTGATGAAACCAAGTTGATAACACTTGAAATTGTGAGTTTTGTGTCTCATAAACTTCTAACTATTCAGTGCATGAGATATATATAAGATATTTCACTATGTCCATTTAAGCAAGGGAAACCCATTTATGATAGAGAAACACGTTTGTCCGGGAAGAACTTAAAAACAAGGCCAAAATGTTCCAGATTAACGCTTATGACTTTCAGTTATTCTTTATCAAACCGTTCTTATCTAACTGCAGCGACTCCGCAGTAAGAAGTGTCGTTGCGTCGTAACTGTGTGACCTGCGACTTGCTCTAATGTTGACAAGAATATAGAGCCCAATTGCATCATATGCTCTCTAAAACCGCTAAAATATACTCGGAGCTCTCGGTTTTGTCTTTTTGTCTAACTCTATATAGGACTATAGACGACAGAACAAATCATAAAGATTTTTACTGATTTCTAGAAAAAATATAGTTATATTTTAGCTGTTTTTCTTTCCCGGTACTCTTTTATGAAAAAAGCAAACAACTTCAAAGGATCGATTAGTATCCCCTCACCGTAACTGCAACTGTATATCTAATTCTGGATTCCATAAAAGATCTACCATCGTTAAATATTTACGTGATAATCAAACAATCAAAGCTATGTTCACCGTCAACCCCCATACAAATTATTAATTTATGATATAATTCATCTTTCTGAAGCCGCCTCTGTGCACTAATAACATACTCCGGCCCCGGAGCGGACAAAGAAGACAGCTTCAAAGCGGATCGACCCCACTCTGATTCTCGCACTTGCGCAACGCTAGTTAGTCTATCGATCCATAGAGGGCCGCGAATAGAATGCTAATTCTGAAAGTACATATTTTAGAAAGTGAAACGCGTTTCTGGCGAAAGGTCAGTTATTTATAAAATAGGTAGTGATATTTTTGATTGTTTTTGGTTTGTTCAGAGGTTAAAATGAGTTGTCTGGCGAGTTTTGGCGGGACGGATCATGCGCAGAAGTCGCGCCACCAAGTCGAAATGATCATTCTGTCTTCGTCTGTGGATTTGACAGATGGTCCGATTACCTTTCATTTACAAATAACATTCAAAAACAAATTCAAACTAAAAATGGGACTTAATAATTGGGAAAATAGTGGCCCGCGTCTTCGAAGAAACGATATGGTGACCGAAGTTTTTAGTGGACGATATCATATGGAAAAAATCACAAAGATGAATAGTTCGAATCTTCGACAGCTGGTATTGCGTCTCGTGGAATTTACTGCAACGCAGGCGGGAACCAGTAAGCAAACTAAGCCTGTTTGGTGGCCCAGAAATATGTCATTCCACTGTACTTTAGACTTGGACGGAATCTCCACAAAACAAGGAATGAAAGAATTTAGAAATCACCTGCAATACCTTATACTGAGCTGTTGCAAATTTTTTCGCAACTGTCAGCAAGATATCCAACTGTGTCACGAGACGTGGATCAACGATGAAAACTTTAAGCCAAAAGGCTTGAAACGCCACAAATCTCCAATAGTTGAAGTTCCACCAAAACGACGTAGGACTCTTATCTGTAAGAACGAATCTGAAGATGTCAAGAAACCAGTGGTTGTAGGCAAACCTAAGTGGAAACCTGTACAATCTGACTTCCTGCACTCATTCCAGTTAGAAGTGACCGACAGTGTGCCTCAAGTTAGGGGTAAGTTGCCAGCTAACTTACGAACTCCCAAAATACATAGTTGTCCACACATTCCATTATCGTCAGATATTGGCAGGGCAATAATGGAGCAAGAAAACTACAGTGTGCCTGAATATGTGATAACGAGGAAGTTGGAACGTTTGGAGTGGTATGTGAATAAAGACATTCCTAAACCTAGTGGCAACAGATTTGAAGTCAGCTATGTGGAATCAAAAAAGAATAAATATATTCATACTTATAAGTTTCCAATTAGGCAGTTCCACCAAAAACATGGTAATATTGTGTACAAAAATATGTTGTTGAGGAAATGTAGACCACTTCAAGTTGTAGTTGAGAATGAAGATTTGCTTGTGAAAAAGTGGAATTTGTTGGATGTTAGCATTACTGTACCTAAACTTCCTTCCCATATGGTTAGTAAGTACTTATCAGATAAAGAAATGTGCAATGAAAATAATGATGGTATTATCGACTCATGACTAAAAAACTGTATAATACATTATGTATCTATTGTTAGCAACCTCGAGACTGTCTAATTTATCAATACAATATAAGATATATTATTGATTAGTCTTAGAATATCAAGAGCTTATATTTTCATACTAAAGTCAAAGATAATGTATATATCACATGTTTTACAACATAATCTATAAACCTGTATATGTTATTTATACAAGTGGGAGGAATTTTGTATCAGAAATGTTTCAGGAATAAAGCAGAATTTATTTTTACCATTTTCTCCAAAATATGGAAATATCAGTCAACATCTGCGAAAGGCTGGGAAATCTCGAAACTGGAGATACTACAGACCAAAATATATGAAAATTGACCTAAACATACCTTAGACCAAAAGTTGATAGTTTACGATATACAGGGTCTCAAAGTTACAATTTTATTTTCTATTTTTCCTTATTGCTTGAGAAGCATTCAAGATTTTAGCATAAAACTCTGCATAGGGAGGTTTTCTAGTATAAGAAACAAGAATCTGTTATTTTTTATGGCCAAGCTTCTAGAGGGCGCCACTTACAGCACTATTTCGATAAATAACTTATCATAACTGTATTGTGCTACCCTGTTTTTAAAGCATTACATTTTGCTAATCTGTACATTAAAAGCATACCATCATATTCATCAAACATATGCTCCATGAGTTTTAACAACTTATTGTTAACTTAAAATTATTCATGAAGTTTGAAGCAGTATTATGACAAACATTAGACACCACAGCAATGATACTCAGATATTATCCAAAGCAACTTTATTATGTTATAAAAATGTTTTATCATCATGGTACAAATGATGCATTGGAACTTTTAAAAACAAATATCTCTAAAAGTATTAGCTTTAGACACTTCCAACAAGTGAACCTTTTTGGTTGTTTATATTCGAGAAAATAAGATTTTTCGGTCAGTTGTTGTATACCGGCTAGCACAAAAAAGTTATGTTATTTACCGAAATAGTGCTGCAAGTGGCGCCCTGTATAAGTTTGGCCATAAAAAATTACGGATTGTGCTTCTCAAGCAATAAGGAAAAATAGATAATAAAATTGTAACTTTGACACCAGTATCTCGCAAACTATCAACTTTTGGACTAAAGTATGTTTAGGTCAATTCACATATTTTGGTCTGTAGTATCTCCAGTTTCGAGATTTCCCAACCTTTCACAGATACCCTATATGTTGATTTTTCAACATTCACGTATACATACATACCTACTATACAAAACTGATATTAAATTTTTCAAATACAATGCGAATTTGTCAAGAAAATATATTATTATACTTAGAAGTAATAAAAATGCAATAAGAATTGCTTGAAATAAGAAGGCATTTTAAATTTTAACTATCATTTATGGAATCTAATAAAACATATAATAAAATATTTTACCACAAAACTCCTTCTACAAGTAGGTTTGAGCAAATATAAAATATAAGAGTTTTGTTTATTAAGTTTGCCAAAGAAGAATATATTTTTGTTTTTATATAACAGCAGCTTAAGCTTTTATATTCTTAAAATTACATATATCTACTATTTTATGATTACGTTATTACACTGTTATAATTTAGGTACTAAAAATTGTATAGTTTTTAATTAGTCGCTAAAATATTGTATGTTGACATAAAATCATTCAAAAATTGTACGAATGTACTTGTGATATGAAAAGATAAGAAATTATGCATCTGGATTGCTGAGTGAGTATCAGATTGTCCCACATTTTTTTGTGGATAGTTTACATTTTGGTTATTTTGGGGAACTTTAATGAAAGATTGTAACGCAATCATAAAATACATAATATGTGTATGTATTACATAAAAAGATACAGTACCACATGATTATGATGTTATCACTTTTACTATAAATCATATGTGTTTTCCAAAGTTATTCAGGAAATAAACTTAACTTTTAGGCATTGGTTAAGTCTGGGCTTTTCTGTTTCTGATGGTTTGCACATTTGCCAAAATTATTTTCTGAATCAAATGCTTCTATTAGATACCTGTTATGAAATGAATCAGTATTGAGATAAAAAGTGCAGTGTAAATTTTAAAACATTAAGTATATATATATAACAATAATATATTATTGTTCAGAAGTAGTTTGTTTCCGTATTTACATATATATTTACATTCTCAGTAAACTTGTTTTAAGTCTAAGCATATGAATAGGTTTTTGGTTTTAAACATTTGATATCAATATTCTAACTATGTAACTATCAATATATTAAATCGCAGAACCCATTTTGAAGTGCATATTCAGGTAATAGTAGGTTCCCCTTTCTGGTTTATGTATATCACAAAACATGTTCTATTTTGGAGACCATCATGCCATCATATTTGATGCTGTAGCTTTTTTATTTCGATCTCACTTTGATGTATCTTATATCTTACATCTGTGATAATTTTTTTCAGTAAAAATATTTACATAATATATGGATGGATTTTAGACATTTTTCGTAACTGATTGCATT